TCTATGTGGGAAGTTTGGTCCAATTCTATCCTCGGTGGGATTCAAGGGGCACTTTGAGTGTAGGTGAATCGTAAATCCCAGCAACTACAGCTCCCAAATATCAAGGCCTCTTTTCCCCAAACTCCACTAGTGTTCACATATGAGCATATTGAGTATCTGTGCCAAGTTTAGTCCAGATCCATCATTGTTTGAGTCCACAGTGCTCTCTGGATGTAGGTGAACTACAACTCCAAAACTCAAGGTCAATGCCCACCAAAACCTACCAGTATTTTCTGTTAGTTTTCTGGAGTCCTGTGTACCAAGTTTGGTTCAATTCCCTCATTGGTGGAGTTCAGAATGCTCTTTCATTGTAGGTGTACTATAAATCCCAGCAACTACAACTCCCAAATGACAAAATTAATTATCCCCCCCCCCCAACCCCACCAGTATTCAAATTTGGGCATATCGTATATTTGTATCAAATGCATCCTGCATATGAGATATTTATATGATGATTCATAACAGTAGCAAAATTACAGTTGTGAAGTAGCACCAAAAATAATTTTATGGTTGGGGGCCACCACAACATAAAGAACTGTATTAAGGGGTCGCGGCATTAGGAAGGTTGAGAAACACTCATCTACACCCAGAGAGCAATGTGGACTCAAACAATGGTGGATCTGGATCAAACGGCAGAAATACTCAATATGCCCAAATGTGAACACCGGTGGAGTTTGGGGACAATAGACCTTGACATTTGGGAGTTGCAGTTACTGAGATTTATAGTTCACCTACAATCAAAGAGCATTCTGAACTCCACCAGTGAAAAACTCGAACCAGCCTTGGCACACAGAACTCCCATGACTAACAGAAAATACTGGAAAGGTTTGATGGGCACTGAACTTGAGTTTGGGAGTTGTAGTTCACCTACTCTCAGGGAGCACTGTGGATTCAAACAATGATAGATCTAGACCAAACTTGGCACAAATACTCAATATGCCTAAATGTGAACACTGGTGGAGCCTGGGGAAAATAGACCTTGACTTTTGGGAGTTGTAGTCACTGGGATTCACAGTTCACCTACAATCAAAACGCATTCTGAATCCCATGAACGACAGAATCCGGGCAGACTTCCCACACAGAACCCCCACAACCAACAGAAAATACTTAAGGCCATCCAATCCAACTTCCTTCATCAGGGCAAGAAAATGTCATCAAACCCCTCCTGACAAAGACCCATCCAGCCATTGATATAGATAGATAGTGGGGTTCAGAATGCTCTTTGATTGTAGGTGAACTACAAATCCCAGCAATTGCAACTCCTAAATGTCAAGGTCTATTTTCCCCAAACTCCACCAGTGTTCACATTTAGGCATATTGAGTATTTGTGTCAAGTTTGATCCAGATCTATCATTGTTTGAGTCCACAGTGCTCTTTGGGAGTAGGTGAACTATAACTCCCAAACTCAAGGTCAATGCCCATCAAACCCTTCCAGTATTTTGTGTTGGTCATGGGAGCGCTGGGTGCCAAGGTTGGTTCAATTCCATGGTTGGTGGAGTTTTTATTGTAGGTGAACTATAAATCCCAGCAACTACAACTCCCAAATGACAAAATGTATCCCCTGCACCCCACCGGTCTTCAAATTTGGCCATATCGGGTATTTGTACCAAATTTGGTCCAGTGAATGGAAATACATCCTGCATATCAGATATTTACATGACGATTCATAACAGTAGCATTAGGAAGTTTGATAACTACTGCCATAGAAGAAAATAGTACCAAACTGGATTAATTCTACCATGTAGATGCACCCTAAGATTTCCATCAACTCACCACTGAATAGGATGGTTGGGGATGACAAGAGGCAGAACTCAGTATCATCCATGGACCATACTGACCCTTCAAGACTTCCTTCAACTTTGAGTTGTTGTGTGTTTTCCAGGCTGTTGTTCATGTTCCAGAAGCATTCTCTCCTGACGTTTCGCCTGCATCTATGGCAGGCGAAATGTCAGAAGAGAATGCTTCTGGAACTTGGCCATACAGCCTAGAAAATATACAACAACCTAGTGATTCTAGCCACGAAAGCCTTCAACAATACAAATATATATTTAACTGGGTAACTCTACGCTGCAGGAGTGACTCAAAATAAAAGAGAAAGTCAGGAGAATCATGTCTTTCCCATTAGGTTTGGTTTTCTTATTTGCATACACAAATTCCACCCAAATAGGATGCCCTCATTAATGGGCTTGCTAATTACATAATAATAGCCACCAATCTCCATGTAGATCAGATGCCCCAAACCTTGTAGCGATAAAGGAAATGGTGCTTTGTAATTAAGACGGGCCTCATTTCCAGATGCCAATTATCTATCTAATTATTAGCCCCTTCCACTAATGCAAAATTAAGGACGCTAACCCTGATTAGTAAAATTCTTTCCTCCTTTTTTCCCCCTGTTTCCTTCAAACATTGCTTAAAGAGAAATCAGCTCAAGGAGGAGGAGCTCCGGAAGTTCGAAAGGGAGAAGGTATTTGAAAGAAATGTTTGCAACTTAGCTGTGGCTAAACGACGAAAAATGCAAAATGCGATATATCGTCAACTCCTGAAACGACCTCCATAAAAATGGACCACTCCTCTTCTGAACCCGAGAGCTTAACCTGAGAAGCAACGTGTCTACACTTAGAATTAATGTCATTTGATACCATGTTATAGATGCCAATGCTGTGTAGTTGCAGTGGGTTGGACTATCTCTCCAGATGGCAAGATGGCAAGCTATTAACCTTAGCAGACTGAAAGCCAAAACTGTTTACAACAACATCTGTTATAGAACTCCAATATGCTGATGACAACGTCATCTATGCACACTCAGAAGAAGACCTACAAGCCACTCTAAAGCATACGAGAAGCTCGGCTTGTCAATTAACATCAAGAAAACCAAAGTGCTCTTCCGGCCAATCCCTCTCCAATGCCAGAAATACAGCTTAATGGTGTAACATTAGAAAATGTTGACCATTTCCGCTCCCTTGGAAGCCACCTCTCCACCAAAGTCAACATTGACAGTGAAATACAACACCGTCTGTACTCTGCAAGGGCAGCTTTTTTCCTGAATGAAGCAGAGAGTGTTTGAGGACCGGGACATCCGTAGGGATACCAAGGGGCTTGTTTATAAAGCTATTGTCCTCCCAACCCTGCTCTATCCCTGTGAGACGTGGACTGTCTACAGACGTCACATGCAACTCCTGGAATGATTACATCAGCGCTGCCTCCGGAAAATCCTGCAAATTTCTTGGGATGACAAGCGGACAAACGCCAGCATGCTGGGAGAAGCAAAGACCACCAGCACTGAACCGATGGTCCTCTGCCATCAACTCTGTTGGACCAGCCACGTTGTCTGGATGCCCAACCACTGTCTCCTAAAGCAGTTACTCTACTCCAAACTCAAGAATAGAAACTGGAATGTTGGTGGGCAGAAAAAAGATTGAAAGATGGGCTCAAAGCCAACCTTCAAAACTCTGGCATAGACACTGAGAACTGGGACGCCCTGGCCATTGAACGCTCCAGCTGGAGGTCAGCTATGACCAGCAGTGCTGTAGAATTTGAAGAGGCATGGATGGAGGGTGAAAGAGAGAAACGTGCCAAGAGGAAGGTGCATCAAGCCAACCCCGACTGGGACTGCCTTCCATGGAAAGCAATGCCCTCTCTGCGGGAGAACATGCAGATCAAGAATAGGGCTCCACAGTCACCTACGGACCCACCACCAGTACACCGATCTTGGAAGGCTATCCTACTTGGACAATGAGGGATCGCCTAAGTAAGTAGGGTTGGACGATAGGTCATTTAACACTAGACTTCTGCAATCTGGTGTTTTGGTATCCCAGATTTTAGTGGATGTCCTGATCCATTTTTGGGAGCCTCCCGAGTTCAAGAAGACAGAAATCTGTTTTTGATCTGGGAAGCTGAAAGATTCATTTCCTATCCAGCCCATTATGGGGTGAGGGGGACTTCCCAGACTTCCCATGGTGGATGAAATGGTGTCAAAGTGGAGTAATTTCTGTGATCATTTCCCTTCTGTCTGTAGATGAGACTGGGTTTAATGCTTTGTTAAAGCTGTTTCTACTCTAGAGGAGAGGTGCTGCAGGCAGGCGCACAAGGCATTCTAAGGAGGCTTCTTAAAGCTCTTTCTACTCTAGAGGAGAGGTGCTGCAGGCAGGTGCACAAGGCATTCTAAGGAGACTTCTTAAAGCTGTTTCTACTCTAGAGGAGAGGTGCTGCAGGCAGGTGCACAAGGCATTCTAAGGA